GACCCATTTCAAGCCGAACACGAGCGAACAAACCGTTGGTCATGTTCGGCTCTTTTACATTTCGAGCTTAAAAATTTGTTCGTGTTCGGCTCGGTAGGGTTAACGAACGAGGCGAAACACGAGCAGCTTAACGAGCCGAACACGAGCTGTTCACGAACAACAAGCCAAATTGACAGCCCTATGTGGTATATTGTCTTCTTCCCCTAAAAACCTACATACACCTTAATCCATAGCCAAGATTTTTAGGCTAAAGCCGAGAAAATATTTTTGAGCCACACAAACATTACAGCCCTCTTCATCTCATTTTCCACATAAATTAAGCTGAATCCTGACATTACTAAATCATAGAGGAAGTATGATTTAAGATCTTTACGCCCAATTCTAAAATTTGAAAATACATTGACCAAAAATTTACTACATAAACTAAATCCAATCAGAAATAATCCCACCATATATCTCAAATTTCAAAGCTTGAGCTGGACATGATGAAGGAAATTCTCGTAAATTATAAGAAAGCGTAAAAAAAAAAAAAGATATTAGCAAATGCAGAAGGGTAGAAGGGACAAACCCTGCGGAGAAGATTTAGATCGAGTTCATCGGGGGTGAGAAGCATATCGGCGCTAGGGTTTCGGTAAAACATGAACTCGCGGTCGCCGTCAGATCGGAGGGTGACGAAAGCGAGGGCGGTGCGGGCTCCACCGTCGAATGTGACGCCGGAGTCGGACACCCCGTTGTCGCGAAGGATGGCGGCGAGCATGCGGCCGAACTCATCGTCGCCGAGCTTACCCATGAAGGCCGCGCGCCCTCCAAGACGGGAAACCGCGATGGAGACGTTCGCCGGAGCGCCGCCCGGAGCCTTGATGAATCCCGGCGCCTCTGCCAATGATACACCTGAAACCGTCGGAACGAAGTCGATCAGCATCTCTCCAAAACTAACCACCAGATGATCCTCATCATCGGCACCGCTTACAGCCATATCGCCGCCGTTAGACAGAAAGAGAGAGAGAGAGAGAGAGAAAGAGAAGATTGTAGGGAGGGAAGGGGCCTTCTCCTTCTCCTTCTCCTGGATTTGGGTTCATATAGAGAATTTAGGGTAGACGACAGATCATCGGCTTGGTTGACATTTTAATCTCCGCCATGTTCTGAGGGCTTCGCCTGTAGTTTTCTATTTAGGAATCGCCATTCCGGGAATTTAGTAGAATTGGTAGGTTCGAATTGCGCACGTGTGAAATGACCAATCACAGCCAATGGACAGACATTTTGGGGGTAGTTTTTTTTTTTTTTTTTTTTTTTTTTTTTATATAAAATAACGGTCATAATTTTTTTATAATTATATTCTCCATTTTTAAAAATCTTTTTTAGTATTGAGAAATACTTTTTAATAAATAAAGATGTGATTTAGGTCCGTGTTGGTGGAAAAATACCAGACGCAAAATTACGTCAGGCAACGGACGCGATCTACTGGAAGAAAATATTGTCATATCTTTTTTTTCAAAAAACAAAAAAAAGAAGTATTTCTGAGTTATAGTACTATATAGATTATGTTGATAAAAGCAACTTCAGACCATAAAAATTTCTAGAAATTTATGAGGAAACAAACAGAATTGTGGTGATGTTGTGAAACTCACAAATAAAGCTGTCTCAAACTCGAGAATGAATGATAAGTGTAAGAAATTTGATATCTTATTATTATTATTATTATTATTATTATTTTAATTATGCCCCTTCATAAAATATAATTGAATAAAGCTCGATCGAGTGCCAATTTTTTACCCATCATATAGCCAAATTAAATTATATTTAATAAATTAAACATGCTTTAAAATTCGCGCTCTTTCCTAATAAAGAGCTTTATTAATTGGCTTGTAAAAAATAATTTAGCTTAACCAAAATCAAGGGGTCATTTGGTACTTTTTTTTTTTTTTCATTTTTTTAAAATTTATTTTATTTATATTTTGATTTAAATTAAAATATGTTAGATTTATGCCATTATTTTTAAAAATAGTCGGAACATATTTTAAGTGTTTTTAGTATTTGTAAAGCCATTGATTTGTAATGAAATGATGGTAAACAATAAATTTCTTTTAGTTCATAGTATGTAGATTTTTAATATTATTCAAAGAACTATATTTTATGGAATACCCTTCTTCACACTTCAATTCTCTATATAAATGCATGAATTTTATCTACTATCAAATAAAAATTAAGTGATAATATCACATATTGTAACATCTAAATTGGTTATGAAACTGTTTTTTCCTTGAAATGCAGTATGTTCGAGCGTGCGTGCGTGCGCATATATATATATATAGTGATTGATTTTTGTAGTAATATGATAAAAATAGTCTTCATGTCGAGGCTTTTTCATGCTTTATAATGTTAATTATAAAAGTGTACATATATTTATCTTGTCATCAATGCAACATCATCCTATTAACATCATGATTATCTTAACATTATTAGATGCATATGAAAATAAGGAACTTATAATCATACAATTATTTGCACAATATCATTGGGATTGGGAAGGAATTTTTCTTAACATACAAAAATAAGCAAACAAATAGATTTTAGACAATAATAGGAGAAAATTAATAATCACCAAGCAATCTCAAAGCTTTTAGATTTAGTATAAAATTAATGTAACATTAATTAATTATAAATCATACACATTCTAAAGCATATACAATCATTCCAAGTCCATCTAACAAAAAATTTAATCAGAATATTCTTTAATTAACTATAAATCAGACACATTCTAAAGCATATACAATCATTCTAAAGTCCATCTAACAAAAAATTTAATCAGAATATTCTAAAGCTATTGTTTTTCCCATAAAAACCTTACTAAACCTTCGAAAGAAGCCGCGAAGATCGCCGGCGAAGAACAGCCAAATCATTCATATTTTCCTTCGCCGAAGACTTCACATTTTGTGGTATTGTTTCATTCTTAACTGCACCAAAAGAGACAACATTTCTCTTCTCATTCTCTTCATTATCTTCTGAACAATGGGTTCTTTTGGAGACTTCGTTGTCCGTGGGATTCTGAAATTGCGAAGATCTACATAAACAAATGGATAATTATGGTAGATTAGGACAAAAATGTAAAAAATTGTGAATGTCATAGTTCTATTAAAAATGTGATGTTTGGGTACTGACTTTGATTTTCTCTTCCGCAGATTGCTTTTTCTCTGCAAAAGTTCAATTTGTATTTGAGTTAGTCCTTCAACTCACAAAGAGAAGGAAGCAGCCATGAAAATTTCTAGAAGAGTAAAATTCAAACTTGAATACTGGAAGGCATATCAAATGATATTTAAGAAAAAATGTAAAGAATAAAAGATGGGCGGATATGAAACACTGGAATGCATATCCATGATGATGAGATGAGATGTATGTATATATATATATATATTATTTTTAAAAAGGAATGACTCAGAGGCTATTATACAAGCCCCGACCATCCCTCATGCGCCTAAGAAATCGAGTCTCATATAAAGAATTCGAGTCTCATATCCTACACTTGGGGGGAATCAAACCCCAGACCAGAGGGGACTTACAACTGACAGACAGATGCCCGACCAAAAGATCTGAACACACGACACATATATATGTATTACAATAACGACCTTAATTTACAAATAAAGAATTGGATTTGTCAGTGTGGTGTTGCAAATGGTAGTGATCATAGGTATCTTAAGAGAAATCTGAAAAATATGTTTTTTGATGTTTATTATCATAGTAATGATAGTTATAATGTTTATGACAGGTGGCATGATAGTTATGTTAATAATATGATCTTGGATTTCTGTTATGGTTGTAGTGATTATCATAGTTATCATAATATATAATTATATTATCATTGATCATGATAATTTGCACTCATAATGAAGTGATTAAATTACAGATTTAAGTGGAGAACAATATTTTAATAATCTCTAAAGAATATGAGGGGCCCTCAAGAAAAGAATATGAATTTTGGATGAGAATTTTTTAGAAGAAAGAACCAAAGTGTGAGATGTTGGTGGTGAGGGAACTAGACTTAGTTATGCATGTGAAAACTACAATTTCAAACAAAATTATATAATATTTTGAGGAAGGAAGAGCTTTTAGAAGATATACATCTAGGGGCTTCAGATTAGTTGCATGGTGGCTAAAAAATTGGAAAAAAAATTTACATCCGGACTCTGGATGTCCGGACAAAGGTTCGGATGCAGCGAAGGAGGGGAGGAATCGGACCTCCGCCCTCCTCGCTGCATTTTCTCCAAAACTTCAGGGAGGGATTATTTCACCTAATGTTGGGAATGGTGTAGTTTTTATGTATAAAGAGGAATAGTTGTGACCATGTGATAAGTTGTCCAAGTGAATTATTAAAAGACTAACCAAGAGTTCTGTGGAGTGAGAAGGAAGAGAGGGAAGGAGTGGGTGTGGATGGACCGAGGGCTCCCCAAAGGGTGTCTAAGGCTAGCAAAATGAGCCAATGCCTAGTGGGTGAGTCCAGGACTGTAGGAGTATATGGTATAGAGGTAGTGGTGTCCAAGTGGAGTTTGGATGGTGGGGAAGAGGCCAAAGTTGAGAGCAAGTGGTGTGGCTAAGGTTTTGTAGTGAGGGTAAAACCGAGAGAGGGAAAACTTGGAGTTTACACGTGGGGGTTGAAAAGGGGAAGGGAGATGATGATTGTGAAAGTGAGAAACAAGAAGGAGTGTAATTGGAAGAAATAAATTAAATATAAGGAAAAAAAAATATCTTACACTTTACCAAAGGAGCACGTCGGATGAAGGCCACCAAGCCTTCACCCTAAAGTCCATGCCACCGAGGAAGATACCTTCCATAAAATAAACATCTTAAATTTTCAGTTAAAATAAGCTGCTATGACAATAGTTTTCCACTACATCAAAACAATTACAGCATAAGGAAAGAATCCAAAAGTATGGAAAGTGGTTGGTCGTCGATTGCATTGGGAGTGGAGGAGGAGGCACCATGGAAATTGAAGCATGCCTTCTCGTTTTGTGTGAGAGTGTGGGAGGAGAAACAGTGGTGGATTTTTGGCGCATAACTTGAACTTCCTTCAATCGCCTCATAATGTATTTTTTTTAAATGGTGTGCATTTTACATTAATATAAAGGTAAACAGTATAAAAGGTGTAAAAAACTATGCCCAACGAGCATCAAAAGCTATGCGATTTATCCTACTATAAAAGCGTAAAAAGACTCTCCGAATCCTGCTCAAAATAGTACAAGAATGAGCAGTCTTGTTAAAAAAACATGGAGCAAATAAAAATTAACTTGTTTGAACTCCATAAGAAAAGCAATGTCCGGGTTGTCCGGAGGGTAAAGATTACATTTGCATTGTTCTGGCTGCTAGGGAGGAAGTCCGTGACATTTTTGTTGTCTCCTTCAATAATAATACCACAAACCTCACTCATCCATGTTTCAAACCAACTTTTCAATGAAATAGCTGCCAAGAGCTCCACCCGTGCGCTATCCCAAGGTTCCCAGTGACGCCCCGCTGCTTTGACACAATGACCTAATTCATCTCGAAATACAACTCCAATACCTGCCACACAGGAAGGGAGTGGGGCACCATCAATATTCACCTTCAACAAACCAGGAGGGAGGGGGGCACCAATGAGAGTTAGTAGACAACCTAGAGGGCTGAGAAGTGTCCCATTGCTCCTGAATTGGATGACGGCGAGAAAACAAGAAAGCCCTAAGAAAAGTAGCAACAATAATAGTGGGTGTGCAGAAAGGCTTCACATGCTTTTTGGCATTCTGAGCTCGCCAGCATTGGTGAATCAAGTCGCGTCATAATATTGGGGAGCATATTGTCACGCTTGACCCGGAGCTTGGAATTAACCAAGGCGGGAACAGACAGTCGGATGATTAAAATTAATTTTCTATATTCATCTACAATTTAATAAATGAAAGAACCAAAACTAAATTAAATTAAAGTGATACAATTCATTTTACCTCGTTACTGGCTGTCCGCATCTACAAATATTTTCCCTTCTATCGCACATCTTTAATCGCTTAATTAACCTAAAAGTTAGTTAAAAATAATAATGAGCTATATAAGAAAAAAATATATTAACATTTAACATATTATTTAAAGAGTTTATATCAATATCATTTCATATTTATACAATCAACGCATAAACACCGTCTAAAGATTATGTCAATTAAAATACATCAATATCAAAATCCATTTCCATACACATGTACGGGTAAATTAGTATTCCCCACAAGTAACATGAATGAGTGACTCCATCATAGTCAGTCATGCACATATAAACAATCTATACATATCACATCATTAATAATTTTATATCAATCAACTATAATGCATTAATTATTTCACATTATGAAATTATAAGCATTTGTATCAAAATGACCGATAAAATGTTAATAATAGAATAATCAATTACATTAATTAGGCCTAATTAATAACCTATAAAACTGGTTTAGAAGAAATATCAAATTGATGCTATAATTTAAGAATAAGAGTATTCACCTTAATAAACATTCTGTTTGCTCTTGACGTCGATTCTTCTAAAATTGAACACCTAAACATGGTAAAATATTATTAATTTAATAAACTATTTTTACATTTATGAAATCCCGCTAAAATTGTTGTCTTACTACTACTATTATTATTATTATTATTATTTTATTATTATATCATATTATTATTATTATTATTAAAATTTAATATTAAATTTATTTAATATATCTTACCTTTGTCGAACCCTACACAATGCGAATCATCTTCCTCTCCTCTGCGTGAATCGAATCGCACGGGCACCATGGTTTCCCTCGGTCATTTCCTCCCGCGCTAACTGAATCCTTCTTTCTCCAGAGTTTCCTCCCTGTTTGACAGCGCACGAGCAAGAGTTTCCTCCTCATCTTCCTTGGTCGCGACTCGACAACTACACCAACACTTGCTAAGCTCTTTGCCCTAGCCAAGGTTGTCCTAGAAGGATATGACATGCGTCCATGGGAACGATGTCATGCCATACTTGTTCCTTTAACTGGTTGTCAATTGAGAACTCAACAAGGCACTGTTGATTCACGCGGATCTCATTCCCTTTTTTCAGCAAAATGAGAGAATTGATGGGGATGTTTTTGTGTGGGCGATTCCAATTTTGTCACCATTAGTGGCGAGATGACATTTTCACAACTGCTACTATCGATTATCAGGCTTCAAATCTAGCCTTCTACTATACTTTGTGCGAAAGATGTTGTGTCTTAAGCCATGACTGATCATGTGTTGGTTATGACTGTAAAACTCATCTTAAGACTAATACTTCGCCTTCCTCTTCGAGGAGCTAAAGTGCTTCTTCGGTATTTGCCTTTGACTCCTCTTCCTCGCTTTCCTGAAGGACACCTTGATCTATAAAAGGGACAATTCGGCTTGTGGGACACTTGGATGGCCTTAACTGTGGCAGTTGAAACACTTTTTAGTTGACATTGGCCCAGATGAGCTACCTTTTTCAAACTTCTTACTGCTTAGATCATATTTCACATTCCACACATTCCATTATACTGGTTTCCCTATTCCTGACATGCCTTTGTCGGTAGTTGTAGTTGTCGGTGTTGGTTTGTATGAGGGTTGCCGTCAGAAAAAGACTGTGGTCTGATATGTTTCTATTACCTTTTTACTTTTATGGCCAAGGTTTGGACGTCACCCAACGACCAATAAGACTGCAATTTGACTATATTGCTAAAGGCGGACATAAGGCTCTGAGGTAGCGAGCGATTATGTGTTCCTTCTGTTCGACCAACTTGCACTTCATTTATAACTGGTGAAATTTGGCTGTAAATTCTTCTACTGACAAGTCTCTCAGTTGGAGGTTGTGAAGCTGCAGGAACATACTTTGGCGGTAATTCGGTGGCAAATATTTTCGCAGTAGCACTTTATTCATGTTGTCCCACCTTGTGATTTTGTCACTATCGTCTCTCGTTCGTTATCGTTGTAGGTTGTCCCACCATAATGAGGGGTTCTTTTTCAGTTTAAAAGTTGCTAGTTTAACTGGCTTATCTGCAAGTATCTCCTTACATTCAAAATTTCTTTCGACTGCTCGCAACCAACTTAAGAATTCATCGAGATCCATGCGTCCATCAAATTCTGGGAGATCTATTTTAATGCCAAAGTCGCGGTGGCCTCAGGTTCTCGTCGTCTCCTCTGGGGTATTGGA